GGATGTAGCTCAGTGGTAGAGCACTTGCTTAGTATGCGTGAGGCTCTGTGTTTGATTCCCAGCACTGAAAAAAAAATTCAAAATGTGATTTGTGGGCTAGGGGTGTAGCACAGTGGTAGATTGCTTACCTAGCATACACAAGGCCACAGTTTCACAGGGCTCCAGCACCACACACACACACACACACACACACACACACACACACACACACACACACACGGTTTGCTTTACTTCCTTTGAAGCTATAAATAAATTTAAAACTGTTCATTGTTCTTTGTGTACTTTAGATCTTACTTTTGGAGTAATTTTCCTTTCTCCTAGAGTCAATATTTTAGAATGTTCTTTAAGGTAGGCCTGTTGGTAGTAAATTCTGTTTTTGTTTTCTAAAATCATTGTTGAAAGGTAGTTTTTCTGCAGTTACAATTCTAGATCAACAGTTGTTTCCTCTCAGAACTCTGAAGGTATAAATTCTTCTGCTTTGTCTTCCATTGTTGCTGTTGAAAACTTTGCTTAAAGCTGTCTAGTCTTCCTTTTGCAGGCAAGCTCTCATTTTCTCTGCATGTTTTTAAGAATTCTTTCTTTGCCTTTGTTATTGTGCAGCTTTCACTATTGTCTAGAGTGGATTTCTGCTTAGTGTATGTAAATGCTTCTTCTATTTATGAATTCATGCCTTTCATCAGCCACTGTTTAAAAGTTTTTGCCTCTATTCCACTCTCTTTTTCTCTGTTTTTATAGCTCCAAAGAAAAATTTGGGGCTATATTCTATTAGTCACATCTCTTATTCTCCCCTTCATATTTTTCATCTCCTGAACATTTTGTGCTGCATTCTGAGTGATTTCTTCATCTCCTCAACCAGTTTTTAAAATCTCCCTTAAACTATGTAACTTTACTTCATGTATAAAGATGCATATTATTCCAATGTGTTTCCTGAATTTAGCCATGAATAATGATGACACTTCTAAAATAAAAATTCCATTAGCAATTTTATTGCCATTACTCCTATTCATCCCACTACTATTGTTGTTTGCCTGCTAAAACTAAAAAAGTAATGTGGAAATAGAACAATAGGCATCTTCATCTGAGCTTACTGCATTTGTTCATGCTCAAAGTAATCGCTAGAAATTGGATGTTTATATTGAGATCCCTTCCCCCCATTTTTAATTCTTCTTTTCAGAATGAAAAGAGAGGCAGTGAGTAGAGAGAAGATTTTCAATTGACGAAGGAAGAAAATGTGGAAAAAAAATCTATTCCTATTCTGTTAGGCGATGCAACCCTACAGGGTCCAAACTGAATGCCTTTGTAAGAGATAGAGGAGAGCAAGGAAGCATTAGCTAAGCATTAGTGCCTTTGTCTTAAAGACAGCAATTACAGCATGCAGTGCAACAGCCTCTCTCAGACAATGAGGCCTAGTGGCAGCAGTGTCAGAAGGGGCCAGAGCCCTGGACAGGGCTCTGGTTAATTATGGGAAAAGGAGAAGTAGGACATAGTGATTGTCTGCAATGCTTATAACCAACGTTCTCTCATCTCCCAACATTTCCTCTTGCCTGCTCTTTTCTCTCCTTGTGCTTTTCAGACATTAAAAGAGTCCATTAGGGAACTGGAGGAGATGTGAATCAAGTGGTAGAACACCTGCCTAACAAGTTTGGAGCCCTGAGTTCAAACCCCAGTACTGCCAATAAAAGTTTTTAAATATCCACTAGGAGCTTCAGTGAGAAAAAACTTCACACTTTAGGATTATTATACTGGTGGTAGTGTTTTACTTTTTTGTTTTATATTAAAAGATAATGTATAAACTTACCACATTTAGCCATTTTCAAGTATACGGTGGCATTTAGTACATTCGCATTGCTGTGTGCCTTTATCACTGTCCATCTCCAGAAACTTCCATCATCCCAGACTGAAGCTCCATATTTACTAAAAAAAATTACCCTCTTACCTTCAGCCTCCAGTAGCCACAGCCACTCTATATTCTAATTCCTCTCTCTCTCTCTCTCTCTCTCTCTCTCTCTCTCTCTCTCTCTCTCTCTCTCTCTGTGGCTGTTCTAGGTACCCCATATAAATGGAAATGCACAATACTTGGCCTTCCAGGTCTGGCTTATTTCACTTACCATAATGTTTTCAAGGTTTATCCCAGCCTAAGAGGATTTATTTTGGAGCACAAGGTCCTCTGTTCAGTACCAGTTTCAGGCAACTGCTGGTTTTAGGACTATGGAGTGGCTCAAGTGGTAGACTGCCTGCCTAGCATTTGTGAGACCCTGAGTTCAAACCCCAGTACTGCCAAAAAAAAAAAAGAAGAAAATTGTCCCTGACTGGTTCTTTACTCTCAGGCTTTGGCTGTAGTCTTTCGAATGTAAAACGTGGCCCAGGGAAAGCAAATGGAAATGTCCTGTCGCTACCATATATTATGCTACTCTGAATTAACTTCAACAGTGAAAAATGAAATACTTTTCTTCTCCCAACAATATTTTTATATGCTCTTTGTACCTCTGAAAAGTTAAAACTGCTGAGATGCAACCCCAGCGCCACTCCCAGGGAATGTCTAAGGAATTTGAGGAATCTTTTTCTCTCTTATGGAAGAATTAGTTCATGTTTAGAATAGAGAAAAAGTTAGGAAGATAGCCAGAAAAAGCAAAAAACATGTAAGCTGTTTCCTCTAACTTGACCAAAGAACCACATTTGCAGCAATAAAATGACCCAGCACAACTATTCCTTCTGGAAGGATTCACTGTTTGGTGCCACTTGGTGGTGTATCTCATGTTCCCTGCCCGCCCCCCAGTGTGTGAATTTCTCCTTCAATCTACATGGGCTGCCCCAAGGGTGTCTCCAAAGACCAGAAATCCACAGAGAAGTGGAGAAAGATCTGTGGGATTAGAAGAGCCACGGGAATGAAGATTTAAGAACAAAGCAGAAGAATGAAAGGAAATAGAAGCTGATTCTCTATCTGGACCTGAATGTTCAGAATATTTTAAATGTTTGCTTAAAGCTAGTCTGGGGTGGGCAAAATAGCCACACAACTTGTGCTTTGAAGTTTAAGAAGCATATAAAAAAAAAAAAGATAGAAAACAAATTTTAAAATAGGAAAACAAATTGTATAGTTTTTAAAAAAAAACAACAGTTACATCTAGAAAGCACCTTTCATCTTGAAAACATGCTACTCAGGCTTATTTTGCTATCAGTACACTGATATTTATGGTACTTAAGGATTTTCTAGCAATAGAAATTTTTCAGTCTTTTAAGCATTCTAAAATCACACTCAGAGACCATAGATGATGTGTGTGTGTATGCATGTGTGTGCGTGTGTATGTAATCCTGGAGTCTAGATTTGTTAGACAAAGGAAGTTTCAAGTTGGGGCAAGTGATAGAGCACCTGCCTAGCAAGTGCAAGGCCCTGAGTTCAAACCCCAGCACCTCAAAAAAAAAAAAAAAAGAAAGAAACGAAAAACAATCTGCTTTCTCCTACACAATCAATGAAAAGTAAAAGAAACAATGTGTCTACAGTCAGATGGAAAAAATTGAAATTTATCATATGTAACAAACATATATGAATAATATTAAAGATCATATTCTAAATGAACTTTATAATAAATCCTTAGTAGTATGGTCATCTATAATAAAATGTTTCACTAAATACCCTTCTTGAATTTGGAAAGTTATGTGTGAAAGAGGTTTGGGGTTTAATAAAATTGAGAAGGACTGAAGCATGGGGACAATTTCTGTCATCACTCACCCAATGCATTTGTTAAGTGCATAAAAATAAACATATACATGCATTTTTAGCAAAATAAATCTTTGCCCTTCTTGTCCCTCAGGAATTATCCTCTAGTTTGATTAGGTGACAAAGAAAATATATACTTCATCCCATTTAGCCTATTTTAGGCGCACACTTTCTGTGAAGTTGGGATTGCGTCTTGCAGTCAGCAACCTCTCAGACTAGGAGTGGTCAGCCAGGCTGTGGTTGTGACTGGAGCTCAGTTGCATAAGTTGTAAATGACAACACTTGCAGAGTGGGTGTCAGTGATTTGGAAGGAAACCCTGCAAATGAGCGAGGTGGTGTTTGTTTGTCTTTTGGGTGGGTTTTTTGGTTTTGTTTTGTTTTTTTTTTTTAACCTTTTAAACCCCTAGGACCAAATGGTTGTGGAGGAGTGAGTCAGCCATGTTTAGCAACATTCTTTAAGCAAGAGTCAAAGTAAGCTAACTGTGTCATTGCAAAGTCACTTTAGGAGCCCAGCACCAGTACTTTTATGGATTATTTTAAGTAATGCCGCATCAGCCTCTTAATGTAGATGATGATACTATGGCAAACACAGACAGCAGAGAGTCTGAATCAAATGTTGAATGCGAAAAAAATTTTAAGGAACACCTAAACCAACTAATTTTGTTTAATGTTCCTTTAATTTTGTAGGTACAAGTATGACATATGATAAAATAATCTATAAAACAGCTCTTTCACTGAATATTCTGTGTCATAATTTAACTTGTGGGGTGTGGGGTGTGTGTGTGGTGGGTGTGAAGGGGTTGCAAACCTTTTTTAAGATAGGGTATCACTATGTAGCCCAGGCTGCCTTGAACTGTGGCCCTCCTGCCTGAACCTCTTGAGTGCTACAGATGTGCTCTACCATTCCCAGCCAATTTTTTTTTTTTTGACACTACATACAGCGATGCCTCTTACAATGATAGCAACTACACTCAGTAAAAAGGGGCATGCAAATTGGGAGTTCAGTGTTTTTCCCTCTTCTTGTACAATTGATAGCAAATAAGCCTGACTGGCCAGAAATGTTTGATAAATAAATGTGCTCCTAGCTGATTCTGGTTTTGTTCTATTTTAACAAAAAGATGTAAGCTGTTCTTACCCGTATTTGACATAAGAATTTTCTCCCAAGACTTTTAAAAGCATATATCCCTTATGTTACAGTCCCCCAAATATTTCTTGGACAGAGACATTCTAGTATTTCAGTTTTGCATGTATGGCTATCTTGAAAATGTCTTATTTCCTTTACTAGGGGTGCAGGCTGCATCTTTATTGAAATGTTCCAGGGTCAACCTTTGTTTCCTGGGGTTTCCAACATCCTTGAACAGCTGGAAAAGATCTGGGAGGTAAGAGAAAAAGTCCTCTTAAGAAAAAAGAAATACCTACATTTCAAACTTTGAACCAAATTTGTCATAGAAACAAATGAAGCAGTCTATTTGCTTCAAGGTATTGAGCCATATATTAAGGTTGTAGAAACTGGTATTTGCCATAGGAATAAGCACCTTAGTACTTACGGAAGTACCTGAGTGGTTAGGAAAACTCTTGCTGTCCCAGAGCAGTCCATTAAGTCACCTCACTGATAACATTCTATCTCCTGCTGCTGCTTTTTATTGTCTCAACTTCCTGGGGTAATTTCTGCCAGTACTACCTAGGCACATCTCTGCCTTATCATCCTCAACTCTAATTCTATCATGCATCTGGCTTTTGATCTTTGTCAGTTGAAGATAAGACACCACCTTTTCATAGAACCCTGATAAAACCTATGTTAGTGAAGAGAAGAATTTTATTTATCTTGGTCATCCACATGTGCACGATACCTAAAGGGTCAAGGTGCCCTGCGTATGTGAGTATGTGGTCCCATTTCTTTATTATCCAGCTCCACATCATTTGTACTGTGATGTGCTTTTGCTTTCATGTCTTATGTAGCAGTGTTACAGTCACACTATGGTCATCTCTATATTTCCTTTTGTTTTCTTTTAGTGATTTTTCTTATTATGGCAAAATAGATATAAAATTTTGTGGGGTTGGTCAGTGGGTATCAAAGTTATAGACAGATAAGATAACTAAATTCTGGTGTTCTATTTGCACAATAGATTGACTATATATAATCATAGTTATATATAGTTCTGGATATGCTAAAAAAGCTAGAAGAAAGAATTTTCAAACTTTTCATCACAAAGAAATGACAAATGTTTGAGGACATAGATATGCTTACCCTAATTATTGATATTACACGATGGATCCTGCATTAAAATGTCACATGGTACCCTATAAATATGCAGTTTTGATATGTCCATTAAAATAAAGTGAGATGAAAAAAATCAACCATTTTTAAGAGTACAGTTCATCTCATTAAGTACACTCACATTGTCATGCTGCCATCTTGCCATCATTTCCAGCACCTTTGTGTCATCCCAAACAGAAACTCTGCAACCACTGAACACTGACCCCCTTCCACCCCTAGCAACCTCTCATCTACTTGTATCCTCTATGAACTTGCCTATTCTAGGTACTTCCCACTGGTGGAACCATAGATCATTTGTCTTTCTGTAGCTGGCTTAGTTCACTTCGCATAATATTTCAAAGTTCGTTCATGTTGTAGATGTGTCAAGGTGCTTTACACTGAGGGTTTTATCACTTGCTGTTCTGAATTCTGCTACTTGTCTTCTAAGATAAAGAATACCTTGGAAAATGAAGATAGTATATAAAATTTAGTCATTGACATTAAATTTTCTTTGGGAGGATATTGTGAGGAAACATGGGCTGAACTGGGGAACAGTCATTAACTAAAAAAACATTTTTCATGCCAAAAGCCTTTTCTTAGCAAGACAGATAAATACTAACTTCAAGTCACATCATTGAATATTGTAACATCATCTAAGCCCAAGGCAGCTGCTGCCATTAGAACATCAGGCCTTGGAGTTCAAAGACCTGGGTTTGAGAATTCTAGTCATTTTCTAGCTATGAAAGTAGGCAAGTTATGTAACTTCTCTGGGCTTTAATTTTTTTGTCTAAAAAATAGGGATAATGATACAAATTTTCAACCTTGCTGTTTGAAATCCATAAGATCAAATGCATAACAAACTCAGTGTGCTATAGATGCTCAATAAATAATTGTTTTCCTCCTGCTTTGTTTACTGTTATAAAGATGATTCAACAATGCAATTGCTAACAAGTACTAGCTGGTGTTTAGGCATATTTCTCTTTCACGATATTAGTGGCAGAGAAAGGACAATTAGCACTGCCTAGTCCTTACCAGCAATGAGCATTTACATATGTGAAGAGTTTTTCTCAGTTATTTAATACTTACTAGACATTCACCATATGGGAATACTCTTCAAGGGCTTAAAGAAGTAGCAAGTCATTGGAAACAAGAATAAGAAAAATGCAGGATCTGTGCTTACAAGTGTTTTTCTGTCTAGGTGAAGTCTAAGTAAATATATGTGAGCAAACATAAACTATGTATATATGTAGAAGGGTGTATGTATAAATAGTTAATAAATTGTAATGCTGAAATAAAATGTGTTACTTGGATGTTTGGAAAGCAGTATATTTGAAAAGAATGTAAGTATATCCTTAGGTGATATTAGTTCTTGAAAAGTTGTAAATAAACTGACTTTTTAAATACTGTATACTATTTAAATGACCCCATACTTCAAAAGCAATCATTTTACAGTTCTTTGCATTTAGCTAGCACTTAGAAATCATAGAACAACAATCATAGACTAGATGTTTCCTGGGACCTGATAACTCTCTAGTTATCAATTCAAGTTTGTGGGACTGGCCTTGGTGACTGACACTGGCCACCTGAAGGATATGTGTTCATTTAGTAAGTGAAATGTGTTAGACTTGAATCTGGATATAAGGTTCCCCAAAAATAAGATATTCAGCAAAAACAAACCTGTCTTAACAAATCAGTTCAACAGGTCCTGTCCAAGAAACCACATTCATGTCTAGTATTATTTTTATCACACTTCAGTAAATCAAAGAGATTTTATTTTGACATTCATGACAACTCAGTGCAGATTTAACATGAGAAAACATTTTAGCAATAACACTGGCCTGAAGTCAGAGCTCATTAAGTTTTGGACACAGCTCTAAGTTCAGGTAGGAGGTAGAGCAAGTCTGTATGCAACCTCCCTGACTCTGTAAAGTTGTGACTTCTGTAAACAAAATGCAAAGAGAACATAGTAGCTCCTATCATTTTGTTCTTGTTTGTTTGGTTTTTGGTGGTATTAGGGTTTGAACGCAGGGTCTCACACTTGCTAACCAGGTACTCTACCACTTAAGCCATGCCTCCAACCCTTTTTGTGTTGGTTATTTTTGAACTTATTTGTCATATATAACTGAAATTTTGTATCCTTCAGCCAGCGTCTCCCAGCTTCCTTTTCCCCTAGTCCCAGGCAACCATCATTCCACTTCTATGAGTTCAACTTCTTTAGATTCCACATATAAGTGAGATCATGAGGGATTTGTGCCTGGCTTATCTTACCCAGCGTAATGTCTTACAGGTTTATCCATGCTATGCAAATGATAGGATTTCTTTGTATTTAAGGCTGACTAGTATTCTGTTGTATCTATGTGTCACATTTTCTTTATCCATTCATTTGTTGATAGACACTTAAGTTAGTTCATTGTCTTGGCTATTCTGAATAATGCTGCAATAAACATAAGATTGCAGATATCTCCTCTACATACTCACTTCGTTTCCTTTGGATACATACTCGGTATTGGAAGTGCTGGATCATGTGGTAGTTCCACTTTAAATTTTTTGAGGAACCTCTGTGGACTTCCATAATGGCTATCTTAATTTACATTCCTACCAACAGAATACAAGGGCTACCGTTTCTCCACATCCTTACCAACACTCATCTTTCGTCTTTTCGGTAAAAGCCATTTCAATAGGCATGAGGTGATATTTTTGAGGTCCTAACCATAACTGTGGTCCTAACCTGCTTTTCTCTGGTAATTAGTGATGTTGAACATTTTTTCATATGTCTTTTGGCCATTTATATCTTCTTTTGAGAAATGCCATTGAGGTCCTTTGTCCATATTTTAAATCAGGTCACTTGTTTTCTTGCTATTGAGTTCTTTATATTTTTTAATGTTAACCCCTTATCAGATTTATGGTCTGCAAATATTTTCTCCCATTCCCATAAGTTGTCACTACACTCTATTGTTTCCTTTTCTGTATAGAAACTTTTTTACTTTTATGAAATCTTATTTGTCTATTTTCACTTTTGTAGCCTATGTAACAAGCTAGAATATTAAGGAGATTACAAATTGTTCCTAAATTTGCATTTTACTAAATGTAGTCTACACATATAAAAATAGGAAATCTATTTAAGGTTCCATGATATTTGATATAGGAATTGCTTCTTTGAAAACAATGGGTCTACTCTAAATTTTCCAACCTCTAATCACAATTTTCCTTTACAATTATCCCAAGATCTCACTCTTACAAATTATTCCTGAATCTTTCCTTTACCATCTTTCTGGTCTGTAGGTGTGTTGTGTGTAACATGTGTTTATGTCTAAATACTAGATGTAAGTACTTTCTGGACAGAAAATTCTAATTCTTTTGATAAGTGCCTTTAGCAAATAATCCTAGATTCAATTCTAAAATCAGAGTAAACCATGCAGACTTTAAATCTATTAGTCAAAATGCCTATAGATTCCATTCCAACAAAGGCAGAAAACAACTTTTGTAGCCACTGTGGTCTGAAGCACAGAACTTACCAGCTGCCTTGTAAGAACTCTCGGGAGAGTAAGTCAACAACTTTGGTCTTCAGTTTCCTAGAAAGTGAGGGAAGGTTTCGTAATTGTCTGAAATATAAAAGAATTCTATAGCTTGTGAATAGAAACTGCATTAAATTTCCAAATAAAGTATGTTGAACTCTTATCTAAACTTCTAAAATCTCAAGCTTAAAGTTTTTAACATAAGATTTTCCAAAAAAATTGGTATCCATTTTGTTGGCATTAGTCAAACATAATACAAAGTATGTGTGTTTTTATACAACCTTAGAAAATATGGATGTGGTTGCTTTTTTATTTTCTGTATTGTTTTCTCATCATCTTGGCATTCTTTCCATTGTGTTTTGCCAGCCAACAAAAGATGAATGGGTACCAATGAAACACACCCACTTGTTTACACATGCATCTGTGCAAATACATAAGAAGAGAGGTAGAGGAAGAAGAATTAGCTGCCCATTCTCTGACCCTCTCCTACAAAAGAAGAATTAGTCCAGTTGGTTTTTCAAAATGGATTCCAGGATTCTCAGTGTTCCCTCAGGCTCATGGTGGCTGATAGGAAAAACCTATAATCCTCTCAATGCCTTTTCAGTTTGTTTAGAGACTGGATCAAAGCAGGAAGATTTTACTGGGTGGCATGATCTTTTTTTATATTACATGAGGAAAAATAGCACTTCATTGTTTTTTTCTTTGAGGACAAGCTTAACGGGCCTGCAAAAGTATACCTCTCAGCCAGAACTGATGGATTTAAGAGTCCGTATTCCACGTTGGTTATATTCAGTCATTATTATGCAATTAACTTCCTGCTAGCATCTATATTCAGGGTTGTACAGAAGGGCTATGCTGTAGTGGTGTGATGAAAGCTCCTAGTGCTTAACTAGTATTTCACAAAAGCAATGCTATTCAAACAGACCCTCGGTTCTAACTAGCTATGAGCTTTTATGATGATCTTAAAAGAATGGTAAGCTGATACCCACAGGGAAGCTCACAGTGACAACTTCATCCAAACTCTGTTTTGGCTTTGTACTCCAAAGGGCTTATTTTCATACAACATCTTAATTAAAAACTAGAGTTTGTATTTGTTTATCTAAAGCATGCTACCATTACCATCCACCACTAGAAAACCAAATACCATATTCCAAGCTGGTGGACACAGAGAAAACAGGAGAAAAATATTTGGTAGAAAAGACTAGAGTTAGGTTTGGGGTCACTTTTAGCCAACATTCCACAGCATAAAGGTCAGTAATCTGAATCCTTTTTAATTTGAGCACGTTGGGGAACAGCTGAAGGCCCATGCAGAGGCATAATTTAAGCTGTCAAGTTATCCTGTCGATAGAGTAATGTGATATAAGGCAAAGGGACAATCACTCTTGCTTCTTTATTCCTAGCTGCCAACACATCCTCATGCAGGTGATCATGCAATACAGATTTGTAGATTAGAAAGAATTTAAGCAAGGCTAGGTGATCTGCCTCAGGAAAAGAAGCGGGTTAGTAAAGACATTGGCTCAGGATTATAGAAATAAGCTACAGTTGGCCCAACAAACTTAAAAATATTGAAAACACCAAAATTTCTTTCTCAGATGTATCAGCTGGTATAATGTGACAAAACTGAATTCTTCCCCATTCCTCCCTAATCTGTTCTTTAGGTTTCTGTTCCTGTTCTATCCATCCAGTTTTCTCTCTCACCTTTCTTTGTCTTTCTCTGGTATTATATAGGTGTTGGGAGTTCCTACAGAGGATACCTGGCCTGGAGTCTCCAAGCTGCCAAACTACAATCCAGGTAATATTGATCCAAGCTTCTGAATTTGCTAAGGATTAGCACTGTCAGGAGAGCATTGACCACACAAACAGTGTCCACCTTCTATTGTGAACTTAACAGCAAAGATAGATTTTTACATTTATCTATTTCCTGATAATCCTTACAGAAGAAAGTGATTAAAATAGTAGGTAAGCCTAGATCAATTCCCAACTCTATAAAACACAAGTAGTAAACTGAAAAATCATTTGAAATGACTATTACTGTGAATTTTACTATCCATTTCCAAATACCTAGTGACTCAAAGGAACAACATGCTTTTGAGCCCCATGAGTGAGGAAGTGGTCTTGCTTTTGAGTCCTTTGAGCAGCATTGGGTTGATTTGTTAGATTAAAAAAAAGAGAAGAAAAGAAAAGAAAGCTAAAGCAACAGAGGGGAGGGAGGGGCTTGCCAGGCCAAGGACAGGCCAGGTAAAATATCTCTAGGAATTTATCCATCACTTCTAGACCTGACATTGGTTATTTTGTTCTTCAAAACTGAATGCTTGGGGCATATTTGGGAATGTTAAAAGTGTTGTCCGTGGAATTTCTTTGAGAAGTGGTCCCAAAGTCATGCTGAATGATTTAGATTACCAGAAATCACCTCAAGGATGTTAAAACAGAAGGAAGGAGATAAGCAATGAGCCAGAGGGTGAAGGACCCTATCAGAAGGTTCAGAAATAAGTAAGGGCCATCCCAAAGTAGCATCTCATTGGCAGGATTACAGGGAAGGTAGATGTGTATTGATAAGTATAAAATTAGGATGAATATGCTACAAACCAGATTTTTCTAGTTTATATTCTTTATATGGTCCCATTATTAAATTCCAAATTGTTGTTATTACAAACTTTGGTGTGAGATTATCATGGTTTCATGAGTGCAAGAAATCGAAGGGAGGGAGTGGCTCAAGTGGTAGAGTACCTGCCTAGCAAGAATGGGCCCTGAGTTCAAACCCCAGTACCCCACACACACACACACACAACTGTAGGGACAGTAAAAAGGTGATTAAAGAAGACAACAAAAAAGCTGGGTGTGGGGATGCATACTTCCTGTGCTGAGACAGGAAGATCTCAAGTTCAAGGCCAGCCTGAGACCCTGTCAGACAAAGAGGAAGGAGAAAACAAAAAACATTCCTGAACTGACCAGGGTTACAAAAACCCTACAGAAAGCTAAAGGCAACTGCTTTATGAATGATCACATCCATTGATCATTTACAAGCAGTTTGCCATTTCTAACTATTTTGCTAGTTTTACACCAGAGGGCTTAGAATAGTGCCTTTTCTCTTTGTTGTGAAATAGGGAAAAAAAGAAAAGGTTTTTGTAAAGACTATGGTCTAATCTGCAGTAGCTCTCATCTCCAGTTACCATGGTTTCCAGGAGAGCCTGGTTCTTGTCTTTTTCCACCCTGCCTGCGCTTCTCCCTGTCCAGTCTCTAGCCAGGTAAAAATGGGCCTCTTTATTTTCCTCACCTTCCTAACACAGATGTAAGCAGAAGTTTAGGGTCACAGAAAACCTTCTGAATGATGTAAATTCAATGCCACCATGTGAGCACATGCTGTTCCCCCAGATTTCAAACATTTGGGTGAAAATTTCAGTTTGGTTCAAGCAATAAATAAATACCTTCAATACAGAAAGTCTTAATGGAAAAACAACAGTGCTAGTAACTTGGCCTAACTGCTTCCCTGCGAGATTCTATGCTGAATAGAATAGAATTTTATTCTATGCTGAATAAAATAGAAATTTGTTATCTTTTTCATTTTGCTATCATGTCAAAGTAATGCGCAATTTTTTTTTTTTCAGTACTGGGGGTTGAACTCAAGGCCTACACCTAAAGCCACTCCACCAGCCTTTTTTTTTGTGATAGGTTTCTTTGAGATAGGGTCTCATGAACTAGTTGCCCAGGCTGGCTTCAAACTGAGATCCTCCTGATCTCTGCCTCCTGAGTAGCTAGGATTATAAGCGTGAGACACTGGTACCCAGTCTGCAATTTTTATCTACAAGGAAAATTCTTCAGGCCCAACCCCAGTAGGGCTCACATTTTGCATTATTTTTCTAGTCAGTAAGGGTTAGGTTTAATTTGGATAAGTCCAAAAATCTTGAGACCTTACTATCTGCTGGGTGCTGTGTAAGGGCTATGCTGCATGGATGGATGTGGTGGATTCTTGGATCTGTAGAGCATAGATTTGGATTCATTCATCCACACTCTTTCACCAGTTCTCCTTGTTACTAAGGCACATGACATTTTCATTCCAAGAAGTAGTAGTAAAGCTCCAACCTTTTTCATTAGTAAAGACTGCTTGGGAAGCCTGTGGCTGTAGGCCAGGCCAGGCTGAGCTTATGGAAGGAAGGGAATTATAACCTTAGCCACAGTCAAGATGGCTGTCCCTGCCTTTATAAATCTAAGAGCTTGGGGTGAGTGCTATACTAAAAGCTCAGTCATCAGGACTATGTCTTAAAAGGGTCAACAAGATCTGTGTTCCACAGGTTGAGGGTGTAGCTTAAGTGGTAGAGGCCCTGAGTTCAAAAGAAAGATCTGTCTTCCAGGAACATCCCCTGTATGACTCAGTAAGTTTCTTTTGAGCCACCCCCTCCTACCCCCGTGCCTGAGTTACTGCTGCTTCCGTGTACTTAAACTGAATAATTTAAGGGGAAGCGAAGAGGAGATAGGAGCCAGAAAAATGTCGCAGAGGAGAACTGTGCTAACACTATCCTGGACAAGATTTCCATACTGGTCCTTTTCATTTCAAGAAGTAGTAATAAAGCCCCCAAACTTTGAATTCAGCCAGTACAATTTTTTAAAATATATTTTTATCTTTAATTAACACATAATAGTTGTGCTTATTTAGGGGAAACAAGGGACATTTCAGTACATGTACTCAATGTGTAATGATCAAGTCAGACAACTGGCATGCCATTTGTGCTAAGAACATTGAAAACCCTCTCCATTAGCTATCTTGTTGCTTTTGTGGTGCTGGGGATTGAACCCTGGGTCTCATGCATACAAGACAAGTGCTCTTCCACTGAGCTACATCCCAGCACTCTCGTAGTTATTTTGAAATATTTAATTAATTGCTCAACTGGAGTTACCCTACTGTGCTATAGAACATTAGAGATTATTCCTCCCATTTAACTGCTCTCCTGTACCTGTTAACCATCTTCTACCTCCTAACCTCTGCTCTGTTGTCCACTTCTATAAGATCCATTCTTTCTGTTATCTCTCTTAAAGTTTATTTCATGTGACTTTTATCAGCATGGAGAGTACTTTCTTGGGGGAAAAAATGTCCTTGCTGCCCTGGTTTACATTGTAAATTAATTTACAACTATAGAATCATGTTAGAAACAGTATTTATAAAGATTCATATTACTTTTTCATACAAAAATATCCATAGAAACAGTATTTTTGGTATACAAAATATGGGGGTAGGTAATCTATTTGGTTCTCTTTCTGCATAATGTTAAAAAAATACTAGTGATAGAATTTGTACCTTAATAAGCCACTTTAAAAAATAATGTTCTGTATGTATGTTTCAAAATTTAAAAACCTAAAGTAATGCTGTGAGAGTCTAAAAGTAAAACCATACACAGAATCAGATCAACTTTGTGTGCATGTATATGTGTGGTACCGGGGTTTGAACCTGGGCTTCGCACTTGTTAGGCAGGCACTGTACCACTTGAGCCACGCCTCCAGCCCCACATCAATCTTTTAGCTTCCACGTATCAGTGAGAACATATGATATTTGTCTTTCTGTTTCTGACTTACTTTACTTAACATAATGTCCTCCAGTTCTATCCACATTGCTACAGGTGACAGAATTTCATTTCTTATAGCTTTCACTCTGTGTGAGTATTCTAATACATATTTTATATACCACATTTGCTCTATCTATTCTTCTGTCAATGGATACCTGGGTTGATTCCAGGTCTTAGTTACTGTGGATAAACATGCAAGGGCATGGGTCTACATGATATGCTTATTTCATTTCCTTTCTCTCCATACCCAGGTGTGGGATTGTGGCTTCATAGGATAATTCTATTTCTAGTTTTCTAAAGAACTTCCATACTGTTTTCCATAATGGCCATGTAATTTACATTTCCACTAATAGTATATCAGATTTCCTCTTTCTTCTCATCTTTGCCAGCATTTGGTATTTTTTGTCTTTTTTTACAATAGCCATCTACCTGGAGTTAGGTGATGGTTCATGGTTTTGATCTGCATTTCTCTGAAGACTGGTGAGGAGTGCTTTTTAGGCACTTGTTGACCATTTGTATGTCTTTAGAGAAATGTCTATCCTGCTTGTTAGTCTATTTTCTAGTTGAATTATTTATTTCGTGCAGTTGAGTTTAGTTCTTTACATATTCTTCAGCCAGTACAATTTTGAAGGAGCGCCATGGCTCTGAAAGGGGAGAACCATCCATAGTCCACCACATCTGCTCTGCCTTATCTGGATTCTGTCTTGGAGGACTCACGGTTCCTGTTTGCACAGGTTTTAAAAAATCCCTTGGTGCTGACTCAGCTGTAAGGTTTCTGTGCTGAGTTACCAGTTTTCTTGGGGCTCTGATGAGCAGGGCTGTAGGCTTTCTACCATCAATGCAGACTTTGTGCATGATTAAATCTGGGACAGTATCATTTTAGAGACTGTCTCCTTCCGTCTTCCTTCCTTCCTTTCTTTCCTTTTCCCTTGCTCCCCACTTTAAGCAAGCTGTCTGAAAACTCTGTGTCCTCCACTTCAAAGGGCCAGTTGTCTTATTTTGATGTGGGCAGATTGAGAAGTAGCTTTGAAAACTAGGCTTTTTTTTTTTGTTGTTGTTTAATCTTTTCTCCTGGGATAGCTTTCAGAGCAGTATATCCAAGTGTCAGTGAGGGGGTTCTGACGAGCCCACATTCCCAGACTCTCAGCAGGATCATTCTCTAACAGAAATATAAAAGTGAAATATTAAAAACCCTGGAACGTGAACTCCATCTGCAGAGTAGCCGGTGTGTTGCTTG